GAAAGGCAGCAGAATACAACAGACACTAGTATGGCAATATGTAAATCAGTGGATGTGTAACCGATGTGATTCTGCAATCTGTATACGGGGTAAAAATGGGAGTTCATAACCCACTTGAATCAAAATGTGAAATATGATATATCAAGAACTATGTAATGTTTTGAACAACCAACAATAAAAATTATAAAAAAATAATAAATTTTAAAAAATAAATAAAATAAATAAATAGTTGTGGTGGACTGGGGGGTGTAGCTCAATGGTAGAGCACCATGCTTAGCATGGATCATCATCATTAATCAATCAATAATTAAGGCAGTATGGTATGTGGATTTGGTCTTGCTACATGTTAGGTACTGAAACTCAATTTTTAAACTTATTTACTAGCTACTGGGGTTGAAAACAGAACCTCACATATGCTAAGTATGTGCTCTACAACTGAGCTATATCCCAACCCCCAAATCCTATTTGAATGAGCTCTTTTAAGCATCAGTAAGAAAAAGTTGCTGCCTGGTAGCTAGTACATGGTAAATTTTTAGAAAAAAAAAATTTTATTATTATTTACTGTTACTTGGGGAAGAGTCAAAGGAAAAGCATTCCTCAAGTAGTTAAATTTGGCATAGGTCATAACCACTCTGGCAAAATTAAAGTGTGTATCTTGATTTTGATCTTTACACCTATTGGCCGCTAACTGATATCTAAAGTGTGTGTGTGTGTGTGTGTGCGCGCGCACACGTGCACTTACATGTGAATTGTCTTGGATGAGATCATTTTCTTGTCTTATATGGAGAAGGAAAGGGCATACTGACATCCTGGCTCATCTCCTTCAGTGGCCGGCTCTGTCACTACCACCTGCCAATCTCTTCTTCAATCTCTCCTGAGCAGTTCCTGCCTCATGCTGGGGACCGCATCTTGATCACGGGAGCAGCTGACTCCAAGGTGCATGTCCATGACCTGACAGTAAAGGAGACTATCCACATGTTTGGAGATCACACAAACCGGGTGAAGCGCATTGCCACAGCACCCATGTGGCCCAACACGTTCTGGAGTGCTGCTGAGGATGGGCTTATCCGGTAAGGGTCTGGGCATCAAGTGGCCTGTGGCTCCCCTGCTCCCAGGGCGTGGTAACTCCCCATTCCATCTGCTTACAGTACGTCCTCCCATAGGCCTGGTTCCTTCTTCCAGCAGAAGTCCAGCTGCCTTTTCTGCCCAGAGTAGTTGTCTGTGTACAAACTCAATTGGGAACATTTGCTTACCCCATCTTCACCATGCTCCATCTCTGTCCTCCCTCTACCACCTCTAGGTCCACTGACCTTCTCCCACAACCTCAGATGTCCAGATCTCTGCCATCTCTGGGTGTTCACACTTGCTATTTCCTATCCCTGGATTCTCTGTCCACAGTTCTTTCCATGTCTGACTCTGTCACCAAAGGAAATCAGTTTGAGTCACCTCTTTAGAAATACTTGTCTAGGGGTTGGGGTTGTGGCTCAATGGTAGAGTACTCACCTAGCATGTGTGAGGCACAGGATTTGATCGTCAGCACCACACAAAAATAAATAAAATAAAGGTATTCTATTCATCTACAACTAACAAAATTAATTATGTTATTAAGTTAATAACGTAAATTACGTTATTCTGTTTCATAATCCTAATTGCATCCTCTATAACTCTAATCACCATCTATAGTTACTTTATTTTTTAAATTTTTTTTTTAGTTATAGTTAGACATAATATCTTTATTTTATTTATTTATTTTTATTTATATGGAGAAGGAAAGGGCATACTGACATTTGGGTGCTGAGGATTGAATTCAATGCCTCATAGGTGCTAGGCAAGCGCTCTGCCACTGAGCCACAACCCCAACCCTTACTTTGTTTTTTGCTTGTTGGTTTACATTTTTGTCTGTGTCTGCACTTGAATAGTAAACTCTCTTAGAGCAACTCCATGTCTGTGTTATTCTTTATTGTGTCCCTAGAATGTGCCTGGCACATAAAGGTACTTAACACATTTCTCTTGAACAATTTTGTCATTGAACATATTTCTGGGACAGGGAGAACCAGCAGAAATTAGAAAATACTGTCCCCTTTTCTAGTGCCCTGTATTGTTACACATGTGCCTCCACTTCCTTCATTTCCTTCAGCCTGAAATAGCATTGCTTTCCTTTTTTTTTTTTTTTTTTTCTTGTGTGTATGTGTGGTACTAAGGATTGAACCCAGGGCCTCCTGCATGCCAGGCATGCACTATACCAATGAGCTATACCTGCAGAAGTCCCGCTTCCAAAACTTTGTGAGATTGGGTCTCATTATATTGCCCAGGCTTGTCCAACTCCTAAGCTCAAGTGATCCTCCCATCTCAGCCTCCCAAGTAGCTGGGACTACAAGTACACAGTGCAGCACTCAGCTATTATTGCCCTTCTTTAACCCCTTTCTTCAGATGCATGTTTTCTGGCATGGTTTCCTATCTCCCCAACCGGCTTTAATCTACCTCCGTTGAGTTCCTATAGGACTTTGTCTCTCTTCCCTATTATAGAAAAGAAGTCTCTAAGTCATGTGTAAGCTATAACACAGTAGCTGTGAGCAGGCCAGAACTGGAGTGAAGTCAGAACTGGAGTGAAATCCTATCTCTCACCCAGTGTTTGACTGGAGAAGATTACTTTACCTCCGAACCTCAGTTTCCTTAAATGTAAAATGGGAATAATCACAGTATTAATTATTTGTTCCTTTGTTCATCTGAACATTAAAATTGAAATAGCACATGTAAAATTTTAGTATGGTACTTAGGAAGCATTTGATCAGTGGCATGTGCACTTGTTCAAACTGACTGCCCAGGCTGTGCCAGGAATGCTGAGCATCTTAGGCATGGGGTAGAATCCTAGGGACTGAGGCATAGTCACAGTCAGCAGGTAAGCTTACTCTGGGCCTTCTAGAATAGGAGGGATTTGGATGATCCAGGAAAGTCTGAGTGGCTTCCCAGCACAAGTCGAGTTTGTGAAGGCAGGGATAAAAGTGACATGTACAGGACAGAGGGTTCTTAGTTGTAATTGACCCACATTTTGAAAAAAATGTGGAGTTTGGTAAAGGCAAACTTAAAGTATTGAAGAATCTCTACAGTTTTGGGGACAGAGGTAGGAGAGTGGTATAAAACTGTTTTGGGAAGAACATTCTGGTAAGGATGACTTAAGAAAGGCCAACAGCAAAGAGATTGTTGCAGATGTTTAGGCAAGAGGAAGGTGAGCATGTGGGTGATGTCCCTCCCAGCTCTCTGAAGGTAACTGTATTATAAGCAAAAAAGTTCCCCAAGCTGGAGCAGTAGGATTTTGCTGTAGCAGGTGTTGGCATTTCCTTTACCACGTGGATGGGTGGATAGGTAGCTCTTAGATGATATCCAGATTTTCTCTCTCTTTCTCTCTTTCTTTTTCTTTTCCCCCTTCATCTATATCTTCCTTTGTTTCTTGAAAGAAACTAGATTAGGAAGGAGCAGAGCAGAATAGTCTAAATCCAGTCTTGGCAAGTCAGCCCTGTTCCACACCTAGCGACAATACTAGACACAAAGCATGTTTTCACTAAGCATTGTAATCAGCAGTAGTATAATAGTACCCATAATACATCTGTAAAATAAGTACAGTAGTATCTATCCTAAGGGGTTACGCTAGGATGAAAAAGAATGTGTAAGAAACCTACTACAGGGGCCTGGCACACAGTGGGCACTAGGAAATAGGAGAGAGGTTTTGACATTCTGATAATTTACATATGGGTCTAAAGCCCCTCCAAATCCTTGAATAGGGGCTGGGGGTGTGGCTCAAGTGGTAGCGCGCTCGCCTGGTATGTGTGCGGCCCGGGTTCAATCCTCAGCACCACATACAAACAAAGATGTTGTGTCCACCGAAAAATAAATAAATATATATATATATTTAAAAAAATCAAATCCTTGAATAACAAGGACTCTGCTTCTTGCCTGCCTACTACACAAGGACCCCATCCCTAACTTTGTGCTCTCTCACAGCCAGTATGACCTTCGGGAGAACAGCAAACACTCGGAGGTGCTGATTGACCTGACAGAGTATTGTGGCCAGCTGGTGGAGGCCAAGTGCCTCACAGTCAATCCCCAGGACAACAACTGCCTGGCTGTAGGGGCCAGTGGGCCCTTCGTGAGGCTCTACGACATTCGCATGATCCATAACCATAGGTATGGTTCACTCAGCCTCCTGGGGCAAGACCCTGGGAACTGACCACCCCTTTCCTTCATTTCCACGCCCTCTTCATTTTTAAGTGTTGTTGTTGTTTGTTTTTTAATCTTGTGATTTAAAAATATTAACATATGCTTGTTTTGAAAAATGTGAAAAGTTTAACAAAGAAATTACCCAAAATCTCATGGCCTGAGAGAAATCACTATATAGTTTTTCTCCTGGTTATCTTACCATGATTGTGTTTGCACAGTTAGTTTTATACACATAATTTCTTTCTGCATGTATTTTATTCTATTTAAAATAAATAAATAAAGAGGAATATACTGAGCACCCCCACCCTCACAACAACCCCCAAACTAAGTGGCTTCTGCAGCCTTGGCTTTCCATGATTTTGGGACAAGTGCAGTGCCTGGCCTGCTTTATTTTCATTCATGAGTGTGGGTGACCACTGATGTTCCTCCCATACTACATAGCTTGGAGTGGGCCTTGAGCCTTAGATTCCATGTCTGTAAAATGGGGGAAATGAAGTGGCCATGAGAATCCACAGAGTTTTCAGGACCTCCTTGGCAAAACACTATAGTGTCTGTGTCCATATCTGTCTAGTAGCTGGACTTTGGAGTCATTTAGGTAAGGAAGAAAGGTGCCTCTTTTATTTCTCAGGGACCTAAACTTAGGCATCCTCTAGTGGGGGTCTGGTCTATCTAGCCAGGGCCAGTGCCTGAGTTTCTTATTGTTTTTTGGTTGGTTTGTTTTTTATTTAGGGGGTGTGTGTTTGTTTGTTATTGTTTTTAGAGTTTTAGCCTATTTTATTTTTTTTCCCACCAGAAAGAGCATGAAGCAGAGTCCATCAGCAGGTGTACACACCTTCTGTGACCGGCAGAAGCCCCTTCCAGATGGTGCAGCCCAGTATTATGTAGCAGGTAGGACTCAGCCAGCTCTGGCGCCAAACTCTTGACTGGATGCTTACTTACCTGCCATTCTGGTCAAGAGTAAGGGCTTTAGAGTCAGACAGATATTTAATCCTGACTCTAATGCTAAACTTCATCAAATTATTTACCTTTAATGAGTTTCTTTTCTGTAAACTGGGGTTGTAATCTAGGAGATAAAGCAGCTGGCCCAGTGTTGATCATCGGGCTCGACACTTGTGGCTGCTTCTATGATGAAGTTGAGTGCTAAAATTTTCAATTTGGCTATCTTCACACAATCTCCTGCCCCTTCAAAGGGGACTGAGAACCTCACTCTAGAATGACAGGGCTCTTTTTCCAGGTCACCTGCCAGTGAAGCTGCCTGACTATAACAACCGTCTGAGAGTGCTGGTTGCCACCTATGTGACCTTCAGCCCCAATGGCACAGAGCTGCTAGTCAACATGGGAGGTGAACAGGTAGGTTCAGCTGCCTCATGTGACTGCCCATAACCATCCCATATGCAGTAGACCAGGCCTGTGTACCGTACCTCCACTGCCATGGGGTAGACAGACGTAATAGCTTCATTGTAAATTACATTACTGTGAAAGGTGGGAGTGACATGACATTATAAGGAGGCTGAGAGAGGTATAATAGGCTGGTCTCCTCTGTGTGTCTTTCTCTGTTGTCTCTCTCTTTCTAATTTCTCTTTCTTTCTTTTTTATTTTATTGCAGTACTGGGTATTGAATCCATAGGTGTTCTGCCACTGAGCTACATCCCTAGTCCTTTTTATTTTTTATTTGGAGACGTTCTTGCTAAGTTGCCCAGGCTAAGTTGCTTGTGATCCTTCTGCCTCAGCCTCTTGAGTCATTGGGATTACAGCTTTTTATTTTTTTTTTTATTTTTATTTTTTAAAGAGAGGGGGGGACAGAGAGAGAGAGAGAGAATTTTAACATTTTATTTTATTTTTTCTTAGTTCTCGGCAGACACAACATCTTTGTTGGTATGTGGTGCTGCTGAGGATCGAACCCGGGCCGCACGCATGCTAGGCGAGCTCGATACCGCTTGAGCCACATCCCCAGCCCCAGCTTTTTATTTTTTAATGAACTAGATAGATATATGATAGTATGAGAGTTTAGTTAAAAAATACAGGCTTTGAAATTGACAGATCTATCTTCAATGATGGCCTACTAGTCTTCAAGCTGTGTTTTGTGACTTTGAGCAAGTCCATTCACTTTTCTGAGCCTCAGTTTTCCTCATCTGCTGTTTTCCTAGGAGAAGATCCATGGGTCTCAGAGCACACAGCTAAGATGTGGTTTAGGACCAGTTTTGAGAATGTTCTTTGATAATAGGTTGCTAAATCTTCTGTTTGTGTGCTCTCAGGATATTTAGTAAGCCTTGCATAAATTTGTTTTTATTCTACTGAGCACTCATTGTGGACTAGAGTTATGATAAAAATAGGGAACCTAGCATGCATGAGGCCCTGGGTTGGATCCCCAGAATCAAAATAATAATATAGAGGAGGCAAATGCAAATATGATCCATCCTTGGGATGACAGGAGACAAGGCAGGAAATGATGATGACATTACAAGGCAAGGCATGAATATATATAAAAGAAATGGGCTGGAGAATGGGTGAGCACCTGAGTTCAGAATAGTCCTCTGGCTTCACAAAGCTAAGTATTATCTGGCCTGAAGGTGGCATAAGGGTAAGTGGGGAGACTGTCTAGTAGAGTGCTTCAGAGCCAGACGGACATAGGTTTAAGTCCTGGCTGTACCATGTGCTACTTTTCTGATCCTGAATAAATTTTGAATTTTGAGCCTATATTTCTTCATTTGCAAAAGGGGTGATAATAATAGTATTTCTGCATGTGGTAGTTTCTAGGATGAAATGAGTCAATATAAAAAAAACACTTAGAGTTCTAGAACAAAATAAGCATTCAATAAGTGTTAATAACAGATAATATTTACCTACTGAGAGAAGTAACTAGCAGTGTTACTTTAAGCAAGTTGCTTCTCCTTTCTGCAGCCTCGGTTTTCCTATCTGTTAAAGACATTTAGCTTTGTGATCTCTGAGTTCTTTTCCAATTTAAGCATGTGATTCTAATTAAGGACAGTATTTCACTTAGAGCTTTGGGTAGATCAAATGGCCCTTCCCAAAGACCTGAAGGAAATAGGAATACTTTCCTGCCTGAAGTTCACTTCCTGGGCTAGCTCTATAGCTCTGTGCTCAGCACACAGTGTATACTGAAGCCCTGGTTCTTGAGAACCGCCATAGCCTTGTGAGTAGTTCAACCACATCCATGCCTCATAGCCTCCATATCTTTTCTTGACCCTCAACTTTAGGTCTATTTGTTTGACTTGACTTACAAGCAGCGGCCATACACCTTCCTCTTGCCTAGAAAATGCCACTCCTCAGGGGGTAAGTCCTTCCTAGGGTATCTGTGCTGAAGTGGGGTGGGGAGCTTGAGTACCAGCTGCCTCTGCTGAGAAGCCTGCCTGGTATTCTGAACTGTGGCTACAATACTCCAAAAGCAGCAGATCTCTGAAATGATCCTGTCCTTACAGGAAGAAGGAAGATAACAGTAGGTCAGAGATCTGTCCCAGGGCTTTGCATCATAGCCCTTTTCACTTCCCTCTGAAACAGATTGTTCCCGCAGCTCCGCTCTTACAGACCTGAAGTAGTTGCCCTTCCCTTTCTCATGCTGGCTTATTAACTCTTTCTGGTCCTACAGTTGATACAGGCACCTCCTTACCCCTCATTCCCCGCCCCCCCCCAGCCCAGCTAAGGGAAATGACATGTTGAAGCTGTGTCCCTTGCCAGCCAGCAGAGGGCGTACAGGCTTTTCTTTACGTCTTCGCTGCTGGTCTGTCCAAACTTGGTCTCTGGGACTGGGTCTTACCTTGGAGGAATAGTCAGTCCCACAGTGGAACCATCAGACCCTGTGTTGGAAGCTGAAGGGCTGTGGAGAAGAAACAAGGGCCTCATCCTGAGTTGTCATTGTTACTTTCTCCCCATCCTGCCAGAAGTCCAGAACGGCAAGATGTCTACCAATGGTGTGTCCAACGGCGTGTCTAATGGCCTGCACCTTCACAGCAACGGTTTCCGACTGCCAGAAAGTAGGGGGCATATCAGGTGAGGCCAGCTGACCCATTCAGTCCTCCAAGCCTCAGTTACTCTCTATGAACTTGAGGGAAGGACATGCCCTATAAACCTTCCCCCTGACCTGCACCTAGGCATACATCCCAGAGGGTAGAGACCGGGACAGATAGCTTCTTGGAGGGTGGCTGGTGGTCCAAGGCCTCTCCTACCTAGTAGGATATCAGTCATGATTAGACTGAAGCTCTAGTCCCTTGACAGTAGCTGGGATCAGGGCCCAGAGGCTAGTTGCCTCTTAGTACTAAGGTATCTCCAAATAGAGATTCCAAACAGATGATCCTCTCTCACTGTATTATTCCCTACCCTAGAGTATATCCTGCCTCTATTCTGTGCCAGGTCTTGTGCTGGGCTTAGGTACATAGGCATTCAAATTTTCTATCCATTCAGATAAACAATTGTCCATAGAGAGATTCATATGAGGAACTTGGGTGACCATGAGGTTCAGCTTAGTAGGGAGGCAGGTAGTGTCAACTACTATCATGCCCAAGAGTTTGATTAAGAATTGCGTTAATGGGGGCTGGGGCTGTAGCTCAGTGGTAGAACACTTGCATCACATGTGTGAGGCACTGGGTTCAATCCTCAACACCAAATAAAAAAAATAAATGCATTAAAAAAAGATATTGTGTCCATTTACAACTAAAAAGTTAAAAAAAAAAAAAAAAAAAGAATTGCCTTAATGGGCTGGGGTTGTAGCTCAGTGATAGAGTGCTTACCTGGCATGTATGAAGCACTGGGTTCAATTCTCAGCACTGCATATAAATAAGTGAATAAAATGCAGGTCTATAAACAACTAAAAATATGTGTTAAAAAAATAAAAAGAATTGCCTTAAGCCGGGTATGGTGATACAAGCCTGTAATCCCAACAGCTCGGAAGACTGAGACAACCTCAGCAATTTAGCCAGGCCCAGTTGCTTAACTGTCTCTAAGTAAAATGCAGAAAAGGGCTGAGGATGTGGCTGAGTGGTTAAGTGCCTTTGAGTTCAATCCCCAGTAACCCTCCCCCCCAAAAAAAGTATTGCCTTAAGTGGGCCAGGCACAGTGGGGCATGCCTATAATTCCAGCTACTGAGGAGGCTGAGGCAGGAGGATTGCAAATTGTATACCAGCCTCAGCAACTTAACGAGACCCTATGCAACTTATTGAGACTGTCTCAAAATTTAAAAATTTGTAAAAAGGACGGGGGGGTGGCTCAGTGGCTAAGCACCCCTGGGTTCAATCACCAGTACCGGAAAAAAAAAAAAAAGGTCTTAAGCCAGGTGCAGTGGTGCACCCTGTAATCCCAGCAACTCGGGAAGTTTGAGGCCCATCTGGGCAATTTAGCAAGATTCTGTTTCAAAATAAAAATTGAAAAGGGCTGGGGATGTAGCTCAGTGATAGAGGGTCCCTGGGTTTTATCTCTAGTACTGCAAAAGAACTGCCTTAAGGCTGTTTAGGATGGCTTCATTCCTGCCCCTCTTCTTTTTCAATGACTCACAGCATTGGAATTGTGCCTATTTCCTCTCAGGTTAATAGATATTAACCCAGGTCAGGATAAGARTGGCCCTGTCTTCTAGATAGTAGTGCAGATCCCAGGGGTTGAGAACACTTGCCTGACCCTCAGACAGTGCTGCAGACCTTTGGAGGGCTGCTCTGACCTTTGACTTGTCTGACTTGGCTCTGCTTCCCTTATAGCCCCCAGGTGGAGCTGCCCCCATATCTGGAGCGTGTGAAGCAGCAAGCCAATGAGGCTTTTGCCTGCCAGCAGTGGACCCAGGCCATTCAGCTTTACAGCAAGGCTGTGCAGAGGGCCCCTCATAATGCCATGCTCTATGGAAACCGAGCTGCTGCCTACATGAAGCGCAAGTGGTAAGTGGGCCTGCAGAGGGGACCTGGACCACAAGGCAGCAGGCCTGATGGAGCCAAGTTACCAAGGCTTCCAGGGAGGGAAACTGCTACCTGGGCCAAGGCCTCTCCTCCTGACCTCCAGACTGACCGTAGGCAGGTGCACAAAGTCTGAAGTCCCAAATACCAAGGAAGCTCACAGCTAAGTGAACAAATTCACAAGTAGTTTCAACATGATGCTTTATTATAAAGTTCTGTGGCCACTGAGGAAGTAGGAGTTGAGAGAATGATAAATCCCAACTATTGGAGAATTGAGCCTTGAATTGGACTTTCAAATAGCAGTGGAATCTTGCTAGGTGAAAATGAGGATTAGATGAATTCACTTGATATCATCTGAAGTGGTTCTGCAGCTCCTTACCCCTGGGGCTTGCTTTCTGTATTTTTAGACCCACTAGACCAAGCACAAACAAGATTCCAGAGATCTGGGGCCAGCTGTGGATCATGGCTGGGGTATAGTGGTTGGTGTAACGATATGGTGGTTCATATCTTGAGGAAACTATCAGGCCCCCAGCCCTTCTGCCTGCAGCACCAGCAGGCAAGCAGACAGGCAGACCCCCATCCCCCAGCCAAGGCCAGAACTGGAGATGGATAGAGCTGGGCCCACAGCCATTTCTGCTCCGTCTGGCATACGTCGGCTCTGCCCAGACAGACAGGCCAGCTGGTGTGCCATCGTCTGGCTGAAACTAGGCAGGCCTGGGGAAGCTTAAGAAACCCACCCAAGTCAGCAGGATGTTAGTGGGGGTGGGGAAGATGCAACCCCTACACGCCTAGCTCAGGCATCGAGAGTTTTTCTAGGGCTCAGGTGGACTCTTTTGAAGTTATCCTGAGGTGTGTCACCTCTCTGTCCCAACAGTTGGGTATAACTCAGCATCAAACCTACATTCTTGCTAAGAGAAGTTAGTAATGTCCTCATCTTGTTCTCTGAGCTTCTACTATGTGCTAGGTACACAAAATTATTTCCTTCTGCACCCCTGTGCTCCAAAGACCCCAGCCTCTGGGCAGGGAATAAAGTTCCAGGTATAGTTCAGTGTTGAAGGGGCAGAAAGCAGTTAAGTCTCGTAAATGGTCAGGTAAAGTGTTGTGGTCATTTTAGCTGGGAATCTGTGAAGTACCAGAAGGACATGGTGTTTTGGGCTGGGGGTGTAGCCCAGTTGGTGGGGCTTGCCAAGCATGAATGAGATCCTGGGCTCCATCCCCAGCACACACACACACACACACACACAAACAGACCTGGTGTCTGTGTGGGCTCGAAGCGTGGACAGGCTTAGACAAGGAGATGAAGGGGAGGAAGGTACCATAGGGAAGGACATTCCAGGGAGATTAAATGGTGTGAACAAAGGTGTGGGGGTGGGGGACTGACTGAACAGCAAATCCATTTGGCTGGAGCAGAGGGTTCTGGAAGGGACTGGCAGGAGATGAGTCTGTGAGGTAGCCTGGGGCCGGCCTGGGAAGGGCTTGGAATGCAGAGCAGTGGCGTTTGGCCTCAATTCAGTGCATGATGGACAGCTACTACAGAGTTTTGTGCAGGAGAGGGATGCTCAGAGGGCCGTCCTTTCAGGGAGATTGATCTGGCAGTGGGACTAGGATGGGTGAGCCCTGGGGCCAGCATCTCTCTCCCCCATCCCCACATGCCTGTCAGTGACCCCTATAATGTCACATTCTGTCCCAGGCCAGTCCCCCAGGGCTACCATCTGCTCTAGATGCAGACCACCCTCTGGTTCCTGGCTTGTCTCCGGTCTGGTTCTCCCCAGGAGCTTGGAGGGGCACCTTGCAGGCAGTAATTGGTTTCCAAACAGCGCCTGCTCCTTCGTCATAGCCACTGGTTCTGACGCAAGCCATGCTATCAAAGAAGCTCTGTCTCCTGCCTTCACACAGCTGAGCTGCTGGTTCCTGGTCTGAGGGTTGCTATTCCAAGGACTGGTGCTACCTCTGGAGTGCTGTAGGGAGAGAAGGATCAGAAGGAACAATACAGTGCCAGGCCTGCTTTGGCCGTGCAGGAGAGCTGTGAGCTGTGCCCTTGGTGGAGGGGCCATCAGCTCTAGGGAGTGCTGCTTACTGCTTGAGTAGACCAACCCCATCCCAGCAGCAAGTGGAAAAGAAAATATGCTTCCAATGGGGAATTGGCTCTTGTGACTCTTGTGACATCGTTCTCCAGATGAGAGACAAGGATATGTTACTGGGGTCCAGGACAGCAGGCCTCCTATATTCTGGCTTAGGGTGGGAGAAGGAGGGGCTTTTCCTTTTACCTCTGCCTACTGACTTCCCCCCTCTAAAAAAACTCTCCCACTTCCCTTCATCCATACTTTAGGTTGGAGAAGTGAGTGGGGACAATTTGGAGCTCCTGGCGTGCTCAGCCCCCTTGCCATCAGCTTCCAGAGAGCTGACTTTGCCAGACAGTCAGGCCCCATCCTCCAGCCCCAGGAGGTAGAGGCCACAGCTGCTGTGGATCAGTCAGCCAGGACAGAGGGGGGTCTGGATGAGGGCTGCTGCCTGCTGGTCGACCCTGAGTCCCCAGCCTGGCACTTCTGGCTTCCCCCCACCACAGAACTGTCCTTGGGGGCCCCCTGCCTTGGACAAGGCTTTGAAGGCCAGCAGGGGGATTTGAGGAGGTGGATGAAGGAAGAGAGAAGGAGGGCTTGGGGAGCCTGAGGTGGGCAGGATGCCAGGCCTTCTGCTGCAGAGCTGCGGGTGCCTGGGGGGGAGAAGCAGTGCGCAGTTGCAGTCTGTTCTCAGCAGAGGGCAGCCTAACACCGTTTTTTGCTACCTTACCAACTCCTCAGGGTTCCTAATTTGCTCCTTCACATACTCCATCTCCCAGGGAGGAAGACCTGGGCTGGATTTTCTTCACTCCCAACTCCCCTCATCTTCATGTCTATCAGAGGTGGGCTGGGGTGGCCACAGAAAGCAGAGGAGACGAGTAGGATGACCCCCTTGCTTGCTACATGACATCACCTCCAAGCCACATTCCCCTGCCTTCCCAGGGACGGCGACCACTATGATGCCCTAAGGGACTGCCTCAAGGCTATATCCCTAAACCCATGCCACCTGAAGGCACACTTCCGCCTGGCCCGCTGCCTCTTTGAGCTCAAGTATGTGGCTGAGGCCCTGGAGTGCCTAGACGACTTCAAAGGGAAGTTCCCGGAGCAGGCCCACAGCAGCGCTTGTGATGCTCTGGGCCGTGACATCACAGCTGCCCTCTTCTCCAAAAATGATGGCGGTGAGTGGGCACCAAGGAGGGGTGGCTGTCACTCACCTGTTTGAGGGGCTGCATGACCTTTTGAAGAGAATGTTTCTGGGATTGGAGAGGCCTGAACTCAGGTGCTGATTCAGAAACCATGTGACCTTGAAACAGTCTCTCCCTCTGAGACTCACTTTCCTCACCTGAAGAGGGGAAATGTTAGCACCTCCCATTGAGAGTTTCTGTAGAGGATTTTCTCTAGCGTGTTCAAAGCACCTGGCATAGGAGGGAGCTGAACCCAGTCAGGCCATGTGGTCTCCAGCTGGGCCTTCCCACCTGCTCACAGACAGGGCCTTGGCAGCCTCCCTGGGCTGAGAGAGAGGCAGGAGCTGGTCATTGCCTTTGTTCCAGTCTGTGCAAATGCAGCAGAGACCACAGCACAGAGCAACAGAAATGCCTCGTTCCCACCTCAGCTCTACCAGGTGGTAACTTGAGTGGCTGTGGGTACAGCACAGCCTCTGAACCACTGCCTCACCTGCACAAAGGGCTCATGAAGCCCTGCCCAGCTCACCTCACTAGATAGCTAGCGTGGAGAGTGGGCTGGGTATGATGGTGTGGTCTATGAACATGGAAGGTGAGCTCACTGTAGGCAAAAACAGAACCTCACTCTTCTCCTTTGCAATTTACTTAACCATGGAATTGGTTTATTTGTTTAATGAAGTTATCAGACAACTGCCATGTGCCAGGCACTATGCTGAGCCCTGGGAATACAGCTGTGACCCTGTCCATTGAGATTTCAGTGTTGGTGGAGTTTGTTCATAAAGAAACCAAACACTGAAAGAGAGTCACAAAAAATGAAAAGTACCTGGGGGCCATGAATGGTGTGGGTGTATGGGGGAGAGTTTGATGGCAATCTGGGGTTCTTCGGGAACAGACATTTAAGCCAAGATCTGAGGATTCAGAGGATACAGGTGTCTGGGAGGTACAGAATCCTTTTCATGGGCACCAGTACATACAAAGGCCACAGAGCAGGTGGAAATGATGCACCTATAGGAAACTGAGAAAACCAGTGTGATTTTACCTGTCAACCAATCAGTGCTGCAGTTGTAATCCATATAAAAACTTGTTTTGCAGAGTATACAAGCTTGGTCCTTACCGCCTTAAGCACTATAAGTCTTTGTGAAAGTCACCCGAGCTTTTTACTAGTGCCCCCCCCCACCCTACTCTGCCTTTCTTCTCCACAGAAACATTCTGTGAGCCCGAGCATCCTCAGAGCTTCTAGGCCTTTATTCCTTTGCTCAGGAAACTGAATCAGGACTCTCCTGGCTTCAGAGATCCCCTCTTAAACATCCTCAAAAGATGGCAGGATCCAAAGATACATCTTTCTCACAACCCTTTCCCAGTTCTCCAGAGTAAGGGTGGAGGCAGATAACCCTAAATTGACAGTACTTGAGCTGAATACTGGGCCATGGGTGGGAAAAAGGTGTTGGAAGGTGGGAAGGACAGTATTCTTACCTTTGCTTGCTGTCTTTCCCCAGAAGAGAAGAAGGGAGCTGGTGGTGGTGGTGGTGGTGGCCCAGTCCGCCTCCGAAGCACAAGCCGCAAAGATTCCATCTCAGAAGATGAGATGGTCCTACGGGAACGAAGCTATGACTATCAGTTCCGCTACTGTGGCCACTGCAACACCACAACAGATATCAAGGAGGCCAATTTCTTTGGCAGGTCCGAGGCCCTGAACAGGAGGAGGGCATAGCCCAGTTGGCCATAGGAGCGGGGGTGGGATGGCATTGGGGACATAATGCTTTTAGAAAAGAGCCTCAGCTCCCAGCTCTTCCTCTGTACCCTTGGGCAAATGGCTTTACCTCTGTCAGCCTCAGTCTCTTCACCTATGATATGAAACTAGCCATACCCTCTCATGGGGCCACAAGGACTAACCGGATAATCCAAGTGACACATGCAGTGCAGTGCTTGACCATTCTTTCCTCCCCAACTCCTCCCCTCTCTGCATTTGTCAGACTTATTTTCTTTGGTTGTTTGCAGCTTTCTCTGCTGGGGGAAGATGAGGCAAGAGCCCTCAGGCTGGGAATCGTGGCACACCCATTGTGTGCTCAGAACTGTGCCCTGGGTACTGAGGGACAAAGCCCATGTCTCAGATACCTTCACCCCCAACCCTCCTTTGTAGAGGTTTACACTAAACCTTTGGGTAGGTGAGACAAATTAACATGAATCAAGAATTGCTCTACCAAGATCCCCTCTAAATGTCAGCAGATGAGGGCCTGTGCTGCAGATTGAGGGCCTGGGTCCAAGAAGTCTAGGAGTGCTGAGGGAAGATGTAGGCGAGGGTGTTCTTAGAGACCCAAGAGGTACAAGAGCCTATCCTGGCATCACTCGGGTTACAGTGTGCTTTGGAGGAGACTATCTTGGAGGGACCCAAGCAGTCTCTAATCCAGGGTTTAAGAGAACAATGACGAGGGTCTCCAATATGGGCAGATTCCCATGTGCATGGGAATTCTGAGTCAAGGGCAGACCCCCCCAAGTGTGGGGGACTGAGTGACAACAGACTTCCCTGCTCCCTCTTGCCCTAAGCCATTGGCCTCTATTTGAGGCTTTAGGGCAGTACCCCACCTGATCTCCCTGCCCTTTGCCCCCCGCCAGCAACGCTCAGTACATCGTCAGTGGCTCTGACGATGGCTCCTTCTTCATCTGGGAAAAGGAGACCACCAACCTAGTGCGCGTGCTTCAGGGGGATGAGTCCATCGTCAATTGCCTGCAGCCGCATCCCAGCTACTGCTTCCTGGCCACCAGTGGCATCGATCCTGTCGTGCGACTCTGGAACCCCCGACCAGAGGTAAGGGTACAGGCAAGGTGGCCAAAGCCAGACAGGGAAGAGGGTGGGGGAACCCAGTACAGTGCCTACAGCTGAGCCTGTTCGAGCTGAAAAGAGTCACACAGAAGCCAAAGGCTGCCCTGTGAGTAAGCTCAGCCTAGGACCCAAGACTGCGTCAGGTCCGGGAAGCTTCAAGTATGGTGGGCACTTCCAGGGGCAAGAGTTGGCTCCTGCTTTCTTGGAGCATATCCTTGAGCCAGCTGTGAGGATGAGAGGCCTCAAGGACAGGTGCAGGAGGGCAGAGAGAGAACCATACCAGCTGCGGCCCTCATGGGGAGAGTGCCTCAGGGTTCCCAGGGATCCTTTCCGTTGTATTCCACTGTGGTGTTCTGCCCAGAAGCRGTTCAGAGGCCAGTTCCTCAGTCACAGGGAAGGGTTCGGGATTTGGCATCTGGTGGGCCCGAGTTGAGCCCCACCCCTCACCCCTTCACTCTCTGCAACTTAACCATCTACACTGGAAATGGGAATGACAGCATCACTCCAAAGGTCACTTTGAGGACTAAGAAGTGGTGTCTGTGGAGCCCAGCCCATGAGGTGTGGCCAGGGTGACCCCTTCACTCCTAGCCCCATGCTAATTTGTCAAGTGCCTCCCTGGAGAGCAGAAGGAAGGAAGGTTGAAGGAGGGCTGCCATTTGAGAGTAACGAGAGAGGGGGAGGGACCTATAACTGCCCTCTCCCTGGATCCAGTGTGTGTGTTCTCCGACGTGACGTGTCTCCCCAACATGCATCCCAGTGTGTGCTTGTGTCCCATGCAGATATAACCCAGTGTGGTGTTATTCCTCTTGTACAAACCTTCTGTGTGTGTGTTTCTTGCATATATTTCTCAGTACACGTGTCCTGTCCCCAGCACACATCTCCAGGTACGAGCAGCCCTTCCCTCTGCTGTTCAGCCAGTGTTTCCCCTCCCTGTTGCCCCGTCATATGTTCTGGGGCACTTGCTTCCTCGGTATTCTGGGGTCCCTCCCACCCTGGGCCCACTCACATTGCTCTCTCCTCCACCACAGAGTGAAGACCTCACAGGCCGAGTTGTAGAAGACATGGAGGGTGCTTCTCAGGCCAACCAGCGGCGCATGAATGCGGACCCCTTGGAGGTGATGCTGCTCAACATGGGCTACCGGATCACAGGCCTGAGCAGCGGGGGCGCCGGGGCCTCTGATGATGAGGACAGCTCCGAGGGTCAGGTGCAATGCCGGCCCAGCTAGACACTCCTAGTCCCGGTCTCCAGCCCCATGCTACTGGCTGGACCCTCCTCCCTGGGCAGGAGGTCAGGGGGTTCTGTTTTGGTTTGTCTTCCCACCCCCACCTCCCCATTTTTTCATATCCCCTGTTTTGTTTGTTAGTTTGGCATTGGGGGTGGGGGTTGCTGCAACTTGCTGGCTTTCAGACTCTTGAGCTGATTGTCCCTTGATTGTCCCCAGCCCTGAGCAGAAGAGCAGGAGGGGAAGCCCCTCCATATGCCACATCTCCTGCTTCCACTTGCCTGGAGGGCTCTGACCTGCCTAAAAACCCCTCTGCCTCCAGTGGGGAGGCAAGGGCTGACACTGTCCTCAAGGGCCGCCCTGCACTTCAGTTGGCAGCAGGAAGGGGAGTGGAACTCCCAGTTGGTAAAGGCCAGCTTGGCCAGTTGCCACTCTTGCCCTCCGCCTGCAGGGCTAGCTTCCCCATGGTCTTCAGGGAAGGTTCTGAAAAAGGATGGAGTTCCACCCTCCCTCCACAGCCACCAGTGTTAAGGTGGAAGCAAAGGGAAGGATGGGAGCTCTGGAGTCGGCACGGCCAGGCCACCTGCCTTGCCTGGGGGGCAGTGGAGCCTCCTTGTCTGCTCCTGGGCACAGGCTCTGGCCCTGAGCCTGCTCTCCATCAGGGGCTCTGCCTTTCCTTAGAGACCTGGCTGGGACTGGAGCACTGCACCATACCCCACCCACCCGTGCAGCCACTTCTGCACCATGGCCACTCTCCTCTTGGGCGCTCCTTGGCCTCACTGTGACCTTTTTGCCTGAGCTCCCAGCTGGGCCTACTCTGCTGAGGTAGCGCTTCCTGCTAAGGGCCTGTCTCTGCCCTTTCTGCCCTCCTTCCCACCCCACTGCTGAGCAGCCACAAAGACCAAAGAAGTGATGGCTTCTCTCTGTCCCCTGCTGCTCTGGGGGGAGGTTGGTGGGAAAAAGCCTAACTCAACCCCTCTTTCCTCCGCCCCAAGCTTTACACTGGATGCAGCAGTCACCCCACCACCAAGCCCCCCTTTCCCTCGCCCCCTTGGCTCCACTCTCTGGAGCTTCTCTGGGTAGTTGGTTCTCCCCCTCCTCTCTCCCTCCCCCTTACCCTCCGTGCTTCCTTGGCTCCAGCCCTCCAGCTGCAGCCTCTGGGGAGCAGCAGCCTCCCTTCTCTCCCGCCCTCCCTCCCTCCCTCTCCCTCACTCAGCCCCTGTCTCTGCCAGGTGCCTCCTCTCAGTCAGGCTTCAGAGCAGCCCTGGAGACAGGAGGGCCATGTTAAAAGCTTTTTCACAGTTTTAAGAAGACGAGGGGGGTGAGGCTAGTGGTGGGGGGTCTGGCACCATCTCATTGCTTTAATCCCAGCGACACAGGTGGCAGCTTCTTCCCCTTCCTGCCCACCCCAGTCCTGCTTCCCACCCCTCTCTTCTAGCTTGGTAATGAAGTATATTTATTGGTGAAGGAAACAGCTGCTGCTGCTTCTCCTGCTGCTGGGACTTGCTCCCCTGTCTCTTTCCATGACCTTTCTCGAGCCAGGGAGTAGGGAGCAGGAGTACTGGGGCTAGGCCCTGGGGTACAAGAACTGGCCAGGGCCCCTTTGCTTTCCTGTGTTGGAGCCACCCACCATTTCCTCCCTCCCTGCCTCCTGCCTCCCCCGCTGCCTGCCCAGAGCCTGGGCCCTGCAGTGTGGAGGGACACATAAGCCTTACTGTCCTCTGGGGGCAGGAGCCGAGCCTTTTTGTTGCTCCGCTCCCAGGAGAGTGAGGGTGACGCAATTGATTAAAATCATTTTGTTCTAGTTGTGGCTGGTGGCATTTGTGGGGTGCACATGGGTCTTGAGACAAAAGTGAGGGTACCTTCTCTCTGTAGCTCCATGAGAGGAGACGTGACCTCACTAAGTTGACCGCCTTCCTTGAGTAACCACTCCTCTACCAGGCAGAATGAGGCCTGCCTGTAGGCCTCTGGGAGCTGAGACCATTCAGCCCAGCAAGGTCCAGCACAAAGCCCAGCACTGGTGACTGCAATTTGCAGTAATCAGCTTTCACTCTCTGGCTTTCATTCCTGAAAAATAAGGGGCTTGGAGTCTTAGTGGTTTTTCAAACTTTTAAAACCAGAATTCATATATTCAGATGAAAAATATACAGTTCATACTGTGACCCAAGAAACACATGCGTACCCGTGTGTAAGTACGTTTTTGTATTGTGTATGTGTATATACACACACATTTAAATATCTCACATACACACACACACACCCACACACATATGTTTGTGTGTATATTGTATATATGTGATGAGCGAAAAAGTTTTACTTACCCTTGCTACAGGCAATTTGCTCTATTTACATTTCTATTTTGTTAGGGAAAAAATACTGGTTGTAATCCACTAAATTGATTTCAAAACCTGCAAGGTTTTGTTTTTGTTTCTGCTTTTGTTTTTGTGTTCTAGATTATCAGATGATTTCTTAGACCAGAGGATTCCAAACTTTCTCAGTTCACAGCACCATTAGCATCCTGGTAATTTTTTCATGGAGCACCTAAGTCAAAAGAAACTATCAGTTCAGTTTATTATGTAGTCAAGCCCAAATCACTTAACACATGTTTATGTCCTAACAAGTTAGTTGCTATTTAAAATAATATACACAATATTCTTTTTTTTTTTTTTTTTAAAGAGAG